AGATTCGGACCAACAACAAAATGTACTCAAAGTATACCAAGTTGTAGATCTTGGAAAGTGGAGTAAGACTTATACCTCGCTGAAGCTTGAAAATGGCCGGAGGACAATGAAAACTGCCTTTGAAGTCACATATTCACTGAAATTTTGTGGTGTCGTCATGCTGTTGTGGTTGTACCCAGGAGTGATTGGGACCCATTGATCTCCTCCTGTGTTCTTGGGTTATCAACCAGGAGTGATTGGGACCCATTGATCTCCTCCTGTGTTCTTGGGTTATCGACTAGTGGTGGTGGTTAACAAGCTTGAGAATTGTCAATAGGGGTGGGCATAAAAACCGAATCGAACCGTGACAAAAAAAAAATCGTAAAAAATAACGTTGACCAAAAAAGTCAAAACCGGAACAAAAACCGAACCAAACCGTTTCAACCGGTTCCGGTTTGGAAATATTAAGAACCGGAGGAACCAGACCGACCAACTTTTAATATAAATTATTGTTTTATTATTATTTTTATATAAATAAGACTTTTTTCCAAGAAGACCATGTGCATAAGCCCAATATTTTTCTTCACTTCTCTCCCCCTCCTTTGTTTTTTTATCACTTTTCTCCCTCTACATTATTTTTCTCCACTCTTTTCCAGTATATTATGCCTTATGTACATTTTAGTTATAATTTAATATCTACACTTTGGTCTTGTATGAGCCTTTCTTTCTTTTAATTTATATTTATATGCACACTTTCTATCTTCTGGTCACAAATCTTGTAGAAAATTAGAAAAAACATATATATAATTTTGGTTAGAACCGTAAACCGGCATGAAACGAACCGGAACCATCATGAATTGAGCCGTACGATTTTAGTAATAAATTTAAACGAAACCGCACCGAACCGAACAATTGAAATTTTCCAGTTCCGTTTCCATTTTGAAGGTGGAGCCGGGCCGAACCGGACTGTGCCCACCCCTAATTGTCAAGCTTTGACTTCCACAAAGTTTCTTTTTCCTTGCCTTATATCTTTATTTATATTAAACTTGATGGGCTTCACTTGCCTACAAGTAATACAAAACCTATAAAAATGATCTTCTAAATCACATATCTACTAGAATTTATACAATCATGTTACTAATGATAATAACTGCAACAATTTCAAAAGCTTTCTTATCACTTACTAGGGGGAAGGAGGGCCATGTGGTTGTTTATTTTCTGAATCCAATGAGAAGTTGGTCAAAGAAATTCAGATTGGGTCAAGCCGATCCGTGGCCCAACTACAACGTACATAGCTTGAGGGACTGGACCAACTCAGTTCACCTGCTTTTAGTTAATCTTATGCAAAGCTCGCTACAAAATATAAAACACATGACATGGGGACTCCAACAAAACAGTTGGCTTTCCGTTTTAGATTTTTGTTTAACCAAATACATTCAACAAAAGCTAATAATTCCCTTGAGTAGCGAAGATGATTTGAAACTAAGCAAAAACATTTATTTATCATTAATCTTCATAAGCACTTAAGTGAAATGCCCACCTACACAAGCAAATTAAAACCCTTTGGGTTACTTAATCAAACGTTAGAGTATTTACCATCTAAATCTTAATCTAATTATACAACCCTATCTCTATCTTTGCCAATGGAGAGCCTATGCTACGTAATTGGTTGACATATACTGTTGAGTATGTGACTGTATCCCCTCGTCAAGTAACCACAACTTAAACAAGTAAAGAAGCATTGAAGGGAATGTGATATAGATTGGAAGGAAGTGGACTTAAAGTAACGGACATATTTTAGAGAAGTTCAAATTAATGGTTTATTGGCCAAAGAAGCACAAACCCATGAACAAATAGATGCACGCGGAAGGTAATGCCAGAAAGACTAAATTTGTAGATTAAATTTACAAACTAAATGATTTGTCACCAATTGGAATAAGTAAGTTTATCAACGCTTAAGTAATAATTGAATCATCAACTTCCGTATGTCATTTTGTTTCTCAGTATTGACAACAAGTGCAGTTTTCCGTATTTTTTAAGCTCTCTTGACTACCCAATTAATCTAATGATCTTCAGCACACTCCATATATGCTAATGCCAGCACATGCAGGTTAATTAAAATTAAAAAAAAAAAAAAAAAAACTGCCATGCAAAGAATTGACTAATATATAGTTTGGTTTTTTGAGAGTGATTTTAATGGAAAATCGTACTTGGAGAGTATTATTTCAACACATGATTCAACATGTTTCATGAATTACTAATTAGAGGATTCAGAAAATTTTCAACGGATAAGCTAACTAAAAATATTACCATAGAAAACAGAGAAATTATAGAACATTTTTATATGTTTGGTGATGGAGAGGAAAATTCGATTGAAAATGTTATTGGTGTAAACAAGGATGGTGCATACTGCACAGCTTAAAGGAAAGGAGAGCTGGCAAGGAGGGGGATGAATGAAACTGATTAGCTTTAACATGTTTTTATTGTTGTAGTTTTGAGACCATGCTTTATTTTTTAGAGTTGACTGCCACGTTTTTGAGCTTGTGGTTACGTAATACTTTTAATATGCTTTTATAGATTTGTTGACTCTCTTATGTTTCTTATGTTTTTTTTTTTTGGAAATTGGCATGCTCCACTAGCGATATAGTTTTTTGCATCTATAGAACTTTCACCAAGGATAAATAAATAAATAAATAATTATATATTTTTAACTACACCTCTATTAAGTAATAACCTTCTTACAATAATTATAAAATGGGTTTGGCCTTAAAATTATGAGAATAACACTAAACTATAATGTTTGAAGATATCAATCGAACATAAAACCTCCCATGTACAAATGAGGAAAACTATTACTAGATTGTATTGCTAGTGGCATACCTAATTTAGATTGTATATTTTGAAAAAAATAATCATATTCATTGATAATGAAACATATGTATGCATCGAAAGGATAGGTACATAGTAGTTAGCCTCATTAAAATCTTTTCAGAGCTTTCAACCCGATCGAGGAAGAAAGAATACATGCACCAAGACCTAATTTAAATTGAGAAAAAAGAATATCACTAGACCGTAGTGTTGGAGATGTAGTCAAACATAAGGTCTTCCATGTACAAGTTAAGAGAAATATCACTATGTCGTAGTGCTTATTGGTATGTTATTTTTGAAATAATTACGGTATTTATTGATGATGAAACAAATATAATATATATATATATATACACACACATAAAAGATAGGGTGCACAATAGGTGGCCTTGTCAAAAACTTCAGAGCTTTCAACCCGATTAAAAGAAAAGGTATAACAATTAAGTACCAAGTGCTAATATAAATTTACAAAAGCAATAAAGTTATAATCTAAACCAAAATCCAATTTAGGCCCCAAAATCTAATTACCTCCTAAATGTGTAATGTTATACTTACGACATTTTTCCTACTACATTTATACCATCTTTTAATAGAGGTATGATCCACCAACACATGTGAGTTTTATTTCTATTAGAGAGGTGGTACAAATGTGGTAAGAGTAACATTTTTAAAACTAATTAATAAGATAATGATGAGTAACTAGCTTGACTCAAATATGCAAGATAGTCGCTTCCTGGTTTAGTCTTGTTAAATAACTATTAGAGCAACTCCACTTCTAAAAAATGAGCTGGCCCAAAGTCCATTTAATCCACCCAAATGAATAGTAATTGACTACAATAAATAGTAATTAGCCAAGTGCATCTCCACCCCTAAATCCAACGAGCCTAGTCCATTTTATTAAAAAATTATTAATTTTTTATTATAAAAAGTTATCATTTTATTTTTAATTTCTGACATTTTCTTTGTTTATAAAAAAAAATCATTAATTTATGACATTTTATCTATTTTTTAATATTTTAAAAAAAAAATTTTGGCCGAAAAATATGGACCGTTGATTTGAAAATCGAACTGTCCAGATTGTGCCACGTCACTAGCCGTTGTGTTTGAATTTCAAAAAATTTTGACCATTGGAAATTCAACGGCCCATAAAACTAGCCGTCGGAAATCCAACGGCCGAAGATGCCCCACGTGGCCATATCCCACGCCCCTTTAGTGCGCCTGCAGTGCGGGGCTTGCTGTCTGTATCTTTGTCGGGAACGCACGCCCATGCGCCTGACGCAAAAAAAAAAATTTAGCATCAGCATGACGCTAGATATGCCGATTCCTCTCTCAATTTATTTTGGGCTGGTTTACAAACTGGGGTGAACTTTCGGCCGACCTATTTTTTGGGGTGGAATGAGTTTTTGGGTGCCAGCCTATTTGTTTAGGCTTTGGGCCAACTTCCAAAGGAGGGGTGGACTTGCTCTTAAGAAACTCACATTCTTAAGGCAATCTTGTATTCTTCATGTATGCGATTTCCCTTTTGTTTTGATTGAAGGTGATGATATGGAGCATCCAAAGGTACAGGACTAATTTGAGTGGTCATGATTACTTTAACCGTAGAAAACTTCAAAGATGGTAAAATCCAGAGGAGTAATATCCAGACAGCGTGCTGCTACCGCGGATCACTGACAATTGCTCAAAACATGTGCATCAACGTCTACAGTGGCGCTTGCTATGCTTATCTCTCTGCAACTAACCCAATTCCTCTATAATCCAACCCCTCCAGCCATTTATGTACATGATAGCTATCACACAAACTCGTTCATAAAAAACTATTCGTTTCTGTTTTCATTTGTTAAAACAAAACAATATATATTAATTAGCAGCTAGCTAGCACAGATTTGTACATAAACTTGCTTGTAAATTCGTTTTTATTTTGTAGGACAGAAAACCCTGCCACAGCCACCGTTTTTTCTGCATTTCACAACAGCGAGAAGATACCCTCTCTCTCTCTCTCTCTCTCTCTCTCTCTCTCTCTCTCTCTCTCTCTCACTTAAACAATCTTCGACAGTCTTTGATTAAAAAACAATTTGTTCTAGGTTTGTTGTCGACATTGTTCATGCATCAACCCTATTTCTCCAAGCTCTTGTTTTTTTCGCAAACTTTAAAAAAAAAAAAAAAAAACAATAACAAAACCTTTTTCTATAAGAGAGGCACCAACAACCATCTTACTCTTCATCTCCATCTCTCCCACTCTAATACTCATGAAATTAAACAGCCCAAAACAACAAAACCCGTATCTTCGTTTTTGAAAAAACACAACCATGATTACTGGCAAGGACATATACGATGTTCTAGCAGCCATAGTCCCCTTATACGTGGCTATGATCTTAGCCTACGGTTCCGTCCGGTGGTGGAAAATCTTCACGCCCGACCAATGCTCCGGCATAAACCGCTTCGTCGCAGTTTTTGCGGTCCCATTGCTCTCCTTCCACTTCATATCCTCCAACAACCCTTACGCCATGGACTACCAATTCATCCTCGCCGACTCCCTCCAAAAAGTCGTCATCCTTGTCGCCCTCTTCCTCTGGCAAGCCTTTTCCAAGCGCGGCAACCTAGAGTGGATGATCACGCTCTTCTCCCTCTCCACCCTCCCCAACACCCTCGTCATGGGCATCCCGCTCTTACGCGCCATGTACGGCGACTTCTCCGGGACTCTGATGGTTCAGATTGTCGTTTTGCAGAGCGTTGTCTGGTACACTCTCATGCTCTTCATGTTCGAGTACCGCGGCGCCAAACTGCTCATCTCCGAGCAGTTCCCGGAGACTGCAGCTTCGATCACGTCGTTCAGAGTTGACTCTGACGTCGTTTCCCTCAACGGTCGAGAACCACTCCAAACCGACGCGGAAATCGGGGATGACGGGAAACTTCACGTGGTGGTGAAAAGATCGAATGCGTCATCGATGGTTTCATCCTTTAAGTCACATGGCTTGAACTCGTTGACTTCAATGACCCCGCGAGCTTCGAATCTCACAGGAGTGGAGATTTACTCTGTCCAGTCCTCCCGAGAGCCGACCCCGCGGGCATCCAGCTTCAACCAGACAGATTTTTACGCCATGTTTAACGCCAGCAAGGCCCCGAGCCCCAAACATGGATACGCAAACAGTTTTCAAGGTGGATTTGGGGACGTTTATTCGGTGCAATCGTCAAAAGGGGTGACGCCGAGGACTTCGAATTTCGACGAAGAGGCAATGAAGATGAGTAATATGGGTAATAAGAAAAGGGGGGCGAGGAGCATGAGTGGTGAGATCTTCAATGGTGGTGCTGTCTCTTCCTACCCGCCTCCGAACCCCATGTTTTCAGGGTCTACGAGTGGTGGGCCGAAGAAGAAAGATAGTGGTAGCGGCGGCGGCGGCGGCGGCGGCGGTAGTGGTGGGGCAGCGCCTAATAAGGAGCTTCATATGTTTGTCTGGAGTTCAAGTGCATCGCCAGTTTCCGAAGGGAATCTTAGACATGCGGTTAATCGAGCTGCTTCCACTGACTTTGGGGCGACCGATCCTTCCAAGGCTGCAGGTCTTCATCAACATGAAGGTGCTGCTGCATCGAAAGGTGAGCAAATACTTTTACGATCCCACACCCCAAATCATGTTTGTCCATTTTGTAAATTGCTGGAAATTACATCAGCAGCTTTTGTCAATTGACACCTTATCAATTGGACAAAAAATTCATTTTTCTATAGCAAATCAAGGAGCTTCATTGATTTCCCTTGACATAGATCTGGTCTCTTTCCCCAATCTGGACAGAATTGTTTGTCAAAAGACGTGACATGTTATGATTTTTGATAACTGTTTCGTGTTTATTTTTAGTTTTAGTTTGATTTTTTTTAAAATTAAAAACAATTATCAAACCAGTTTTCAATTGAAAACTGACAGAGTTATTAGAAATAAAGTAGAGATTTGTGAAAGATCATATATTTGAGAAAATAAAGCATTGCTACATCATTTAGTGAATAAAATTTGACGAACGCATCAGCTATTAGAATTTCTTGTTCAATTTACGGGTTCATTCTAGATTGTAATTTGGTTAATTTAAATATATTCTTAACTGCATGTACAGGTATACACGAATTAATTGAGAATATGAGTCCTGGGAGGAAAATGAGTGGAGATAGGGAGCTTGAGATAGAAGAAGGATCGAATAAGTTTCCACCGAGTGTGTCACCGTACAGTAGTACTAGTTGCCAGAAGAAAGTGGATATTGAAGGTGGTGTAGCAAAGAAGCACCAAATGCCTCCTGCAAGTGTCATGACTAGGCTTATTCTCATCATGGTCTGGAGGAAGCTCATTAGAAACCCCAACACTTACTCCAGCCTTCTTGGCGTGGCATGGTCTCTCATATCATACAAGTACCTCTCTCTCTCTCCATATGGTGCTACACGTATCACATGAACAAACTCTATCCAGAGGGGAAAATTATTGGGTCTCATCTTTACGAAAAATGTGATAAAAAATAGTGTAGTAAATACTTTTATTGGAAAGCAACATATAATGTAGTTCAAGTGTTTCATAAGCACTCGTCTTATACACTTCAAACTTATTATTTGATTTTTTTTACATTCCTGTCATCTTTTCTTAAAAAAAAAAAATTTGTTAGAAAATATCATGTACGTCCTTTCCCTTTAGCCTAGTAACGTTATCGAAAATTGATTCACTAAAATTAGTTTCTCCAATTATTGGCAGGTGGAACATCAAAATGCCAACAATTGTTAGTGGATCCATATCAATATTATCTGATGCTGGATTGGGAATGGCTATGTTCAGTCTCGGTATATATTTATCTTCAGTTGATTTATTGTATTGACCTTATTGTACCATATGCATTTCAAATGAATCTTTCTTGTTAACTAATGATAGATCTATCAATTATCACTTACAATTCCAGGATTATTCATGGCTTTGCAACCGAAGATCATAGCTTGTGGAAAATCTGTTGCAACATTTTCAATGGCTGTTAGGTTCCTAACCGGCCCAGCAGTGATTGCTGCAACTTCTATTGCTGTCGGTCTTCGTGGAGTTCTGTTGCATGTTGCAATAGTTCAGGTTCGCCAACTCAACCTTTCCAACCATTCCCACATTTCTAAAATCTTATGTTAACATTTTTTTGTCAAATATATGGAAACCGTTAGTGTGTAAGTGTTTATACTGAAATAGCATAAGAACGAAGTGTAAAACTGAGTTTGAATGTCAGCCCTTGGATTACAGTCCAAGTGTGCAGCTAAGATGTAATCTTAGGATAAGTGATACTTTATGCCATGTGTCATTACCTCATAGGGTAAATGAATGGAGAGTTAGATTTGAATGATGTAATGAGGGAATATTCTCATTCCCTCTAACGGTTACACGTGCACAGAGTGTAAGTGAATGAATAAAGTTGCACATTTGCTTCATCTTCAAGCTCTCTCTCTCTCTCTCTCTGAAATCTCTTTCTCGCAGTTTCCAGTTTCTTAAATTTCCAGCTCCATTAATTGTTGATTGTAGCTTACATACAAGATAACAGTCTGTGTATACTAATATGGTATCAGGGCCAGGTTCGGGCATGTGCAAGCTAAAGGCTTGTCACCAGGAAGGACTTGCAAACAAGCTTGGACTCTTAACATAGAGTCGGTCTGTTCCTGAAAAATATTTAAAACAAGTTTGGACTCCATTGGAGCCGACCTCTGAGTTTCCATTATCAATATGTGGATCTCCACGTGTGAACCATTAAATGAGGTTACGCGTGAGGGGGAGTGTTAAATGTCCCACATCGGTGGATTTAAAGTAACCCAATGGGTTTAAATAAAACTACCCTACTCTAACTAATACCGAGGCTTTTGTAGTAAAACCTCACACCTAACGGATTGGATAGGTGGTAAAGTTAGGGATAGTATCAGTGTCGTTAAAGTGGGGGCGGGTCCGGCGATCAAAAAATCCAACATTTGCATCATTATCCAATCACAAAGGCCTCACAAACCCTAATACATATATAATACAAAGCTTAATTTAACACAACGTAATTCGATATGCAAACTATATATGCCACAAGATTACGTATGTAAATAAATGCTTAATTTCATTTTTCTTTCTGCAGGCTGCTCTTCCTCAAGGCATAGTTCCTTTTGTATTTGCCAAGGAATATAATGTCCATGCAGACATCCTTAGTACCGCGTAAGTTTATGTATTTATTTATTTATTTGAAGAAGAAAACCACAAATGACATGATGAAAAAGGGACATGATTTCTAAATACCCATTTTTCTTTTTTCTGCACATTCATGTTCATTGTTGTCTTTGATTCTTCTTTATTTATATAATCTCAACATAAAAAATAAATAAGAGTTACAAAAGCATAATAAAGCTGTGCGGAAGTCACTTTCCATGAAAAAAGACTCTGACTCGTATATTATGGTGTTGCAATTATTGCAGGGTTATTTTTGGAATGCTCATTGCCCTGCCCATAACAATACTCTACTATATCCTTCTCGGGCTCTAGTTTCTGAGATAATCAGGACAGAGGAAAAACACATACAACTGCACATCCAACTCAGGCTTAGGTGGATGGAGAGGATCAAAATGTCTTTAACAAAGAAAATCATATGCATGCCATTGGATTCAGTGTTCAACAAAATACACACCATCCTCGGCATGTGACAACTGAGTAGCTTGATATGCCGTTTACTTCAATAATTAGTTTTTCTCCCTCATGGTAGTATTATATTATTTTGGTTAGATAGAAATTAAGTAATAGAATAGAGCTTAGAATTAGCCAGAGAAAGGTTAATTAATTGTTACTTCTTTCTTTTTATTCTTGGGGTGCAAATTTTTGTGTTTATCATATTTGTTACCCCAATATCAATGTAGCTCTTTGCTTAACTTGGACACAAAAATCATCCAATATATAACTACGTTCTCTTATTTTTTGTTTTTTGGGGTTTGAATCAGTAAATTGAAGGCACACTGTTTGAAGTTTCTGAGATATACCGTTGACTTACTGCTGAGGTTATTGTTGACTCTATTCTATAATATATATAGTTGGGAAATAACTTCTATAGTTTAATTAAGAAGTTTGTGTTAGGCACAAAAATTTAATTATTTCTATTCTCGCAAAAGATAAGAGAACTTTTCATTTGTTAACATTACAAAGAGAATCCTTTTAGGATCCTATATTCATACATATTATAATTTCTTCGGCACAATGGATGTAAAATTTTACTAAACCATATACAAAATTGTGTTCAAATATGTCCTAGATTTGCAACCCGTCTTCGATATCTAAAGAAGATGTCAGGTGTCTTTTATAATAGTCGATATAGGAATTTGGATCTCATTTTTTATGGTTTGAATTGAGGTTTTGAAATCGCCTTCACTAATAATCTTGTTTAGTCGCCTCTCAATTAATTTCTCCTTGTAGTGCTTGCTTTAAAACCAAAGTTTCAGCGTGCAAACAGAAGAATAACATGTAGGAAAGAGCTAGCTTGCAATACTTTGTTATGAATATGAGTTTTTTCGTAAACAAGTTTAAATTGTATCTCTAAAGAAAGGAAAAAATATATATAACTATTGTATATTTAACGGTATCTGCATGAGTATGGAGTTTCTATCATTATATACAGAAGGAAAACAAAATCCTTGAGCAATATCCTCTTTACTCAACAATGTGCATCACACAAAACTAACACGATGGATGATAAATCATGTTATGCTACGAGATATTTTTTCAAGCGCCGAGTGTTAGTATTATTTATTTGTATGATGTATTTTTTCGTGTTCTTCTACTTATTTTATGACACGTAAAGTACCAGCTTGAATATCAGTCATTTGAAAATTTTCTCTTATATATGCTACTTCATGACTGTGTGTCGAAAATTGTCTTGCGTAAAAAAAAAAAAAAAAATCTTTAATATTTTGATTGGACGCAAAGATGGAGACGTCCTAATTAAGTCTGAGTTTCCCTACTTTGCATGTGAATGTAATTTGAGTTGAAAATTAGTCGTTAATGGTAGAAAAGAAAGGCCTAGTTAGCTTCAATGCATAGTTCCAAACATTGCCTTTTTAAAAAGCATTGCTTTGTGTAGTTTTATATGTTAAGCATGTGACCGTACAGATTAAAAGGAGGCCGCTGCTTCGCAGAGTGAATAAAATTTAGCTTCACATTACATTGTTCTTGTAGGTCATATATAATGCATTTGAAGACAAATTTGATGGTTTTATAAAATTACAGAGGACAAAAGCATTTCGTCATATTATACATCCATGTCTTGAATTCTGCATTATCTTATTAGACATACTAAAATAATTGAAAAGATATGCAGCATACATACATATATATTCACTGCGTTCCAAAACCTTTTATTAGCACCAAGTATTGGCTTTTAATTTATAGATTCACCCCTTCCAGTTCAGATCCACATATACGCTATCAATCATTCAATCCTAATGTAAAGGGAATTTTCCCTATACAAATGAATATCGGTCATGGGGTAGGAGAGCCCTCATCATAACCATGATCCATGTCAATGTATTGCTAAGGACATTTTTTTAATTTCCATTCTAATGAATCGAAACTGTCTAACTTTAACGTTGCCTTCTAAGAACCATCCATTCACAAAATTATCTATAAGCAAGATCGCACAGTTTAAATAATTTTTCATAAAAATGGCATCATAAAAATGGCATCGAAACTGTCTAACTTTAACGTTGCCTTCTAAGAACGTTTCCATTGCACCGCAATATATAGATGGACATGTGTATATAAATTACCATTAGGTTAGATCATGATCCAAAACCATGCATGTGTTGGGTTTCTTGGTATCACTTCAAAGGTGATCTTGCCAGCTCTTCTTAAGCATAAACAATAACTATGGGATTTAGGATGAGATTCTATGGGAAATTAATCAATAAAATGGATCTGAAAGCTTTAAGACGTTGGACAACGAAAAGTATATAATTATTATTTGTTATTCATCTATGTTATTATTGACATCGTTTGCATTATATAATCTAATGCTTCCTCACGTGATGAAGCAAAGGAGTGTCTTCTATAATGTTAATTAGACTAAAATTTCAAGTATATTATGCTTAGTGCACATGAAGGTGTTTTTCTTTTTAAATCCCTGTCTTCTCCCTGATACGTGTGCTGCAATAAACAAAACAGAGTTAACAGCTCCTGTAAACCTTATTGTGGATATCATGAATTTTCTTCAGCAAAAGCTGTGGCCCATGTGATGCGGATGTGGATTGCATGGCTGAGTTTCTCTGTGTGCGTGCAGATCAATCTAGTTGTAGTTATTATTGTTTTCTCAAACGAGTTCCAATTTCCAAGGTTCAAGGCTTCAGCAAATCAAATTTCTGGGTTTTCTGAATTATATTTAGAAGTGTGTGCAGTTCATTTTATTATACAACTGGGGTTTAGTCGTTTTTCGACAGTTTTATTTACATAGCAGACTATGTGCTTTTACTAAAAACCAAACAACGCTGTTCTAGACTATATTTCGTTCAATCTCGGTTCTTGATTGCTTTTGATAAATAAAGAGGATTCAAATTTGAGATTGTTTTCAACATTAAAAGAGAGATACAACACCAACTAGACTATTTCAAAGTAACTGCCAACATTTGCATCCCCTTGGCAACTTATATCAGTGGTCATTCTTCTTACAAAGTAAATAGCGGTTCAATTTTCTAGTTTTGTCTGCAATTTAACCGGAATAAGAAATCAATACTTCGGACCACACAACCTACATTGAATGCGTAGTAACTACAAATATATGTATATACATATATATATATATATAGGGAAGTGTTATCGGCACTTCAAAAATCTCATTCTACACTCCTCTTAAGTGTATTTTTATTTCTAAATATAAATAGTTTGGAGTGTAGAATAATCAATTTTGAGTGTCAATAACAATTTCCTAGATATATATTGCAAATTTAAAGGAATGTTGGAACAAGTTATTAAGTATGGGTCATGACTGAAGATAAACTAATTAGCAGCAGTTACTCAAATCTCGAGTTTTTATGGGTACAGTTTGAATGCTAAATATGAGAATCCTTAGAAAATGTTGCACCAACACCAATAAGAAAGTAGCGTTCTGGTTTCAGTTTCCAAATATAAATATTTTCATTGAAAAATCACAATTTTTTTTCATGAGTAATCAACATAAGCCTAATTATTTCGATAGTGCAACAAATATTTGTCCCATGTGAGAAGACTGTAACACATAGCAACTTGTTGAGCAACTTATATAGAATGGGTGCAATGCATATCCTGCCAGTTATGTGTTGCTCTCCACATGGCAACGTATTGTACCCGTGTCATGAAAATTGCTCTCTTGATGGAGCGTGGACAACAAATAACTAGGAAAATATTGAACAATTGGAAAGATGATTTGACTTGTTGCACCAAAACCACAATCAAAACTTCCCAAAATCAACGTCTATTCAAAGTCGACCGGAAACCAGTGAAATTTAGCATTCAAACAATCGAAGACAAACAAGAGAAAATTTGAGAATTTTGGTAAGATGAATTGAACCCTAAATGCATATCTGCAGTGAGTGAGCGATCAGGGATTTTATTATTACAACCATGAATAACACGGGCAAAGTCACATTGCTTAGTGTTGAAACTTGAGTGTGCATTTATCACGTAAACGGTCCATTGGGCCTCAATAAGTTTCCTAGTGCATTTGGGCCTCTATAAGGGTTATTTAGGCCTAATTGGAGAGAAATAATACATCAACAACAAAGTCTTTTCCCACTAAGTGGGGTCGGCTATTAATTGGAGAGAAATAAAAAGAAAAATATAAATGAAGTTCAAATTCAAACCTAAGTTGCATTCTCTAAAAAAAAAAAAAAAAAAAAAAAAAAATCTAAGTAGGTATGCACATTTTGAGATTTTGAATATTTCATCATTTCCCCCACTCCCTCAATATTTGGTTAAACTGGAAATTTAGCCCATCCTACGGTCCTACCCCTAAAGTCAATTAACTTATTCCCATATGCTCTTGAACACCTTCAAACTTTATACTTTTTTCAACATTGAAAGAGAGATGTGTGGCAAATTCACAAAAAGTTATTCTGAGCATCACATGTAAAAGTTTACAAACATTTTTTAGACATATAATAACTTTAAAAATTAAATCATGGTTTCATCATTCATAATTTATATAACAAATAACAATACAAGTTACAATTGTTTGCGACGCGTTTTTATATTCTGAAAACACTACATTATAACCTCATTATCAATAGAAGAAAAAACATTGCTCTAAATATAAACTATCATACTATCACTCAATCATTAATCTCTCATTCGGTTATGCAATAGACTTTCTTAATATTCATAACGGAAAATACTATCTCCTGAAGCAATAGCCACCTTTAGAACCAAAGCCAATGCAATTTGCAAATATACATGATTATATACTTTATTCCTCTTCTCAGCCCTTTTTTTTTTTTTTTTTTTTTTTTTTTTTTTTTTTGCAAAACTACCAATTCCTTTTACTTGAGAAAATTCACTATTTGAATGCATATCAAGAATATAATGCCCAAGTTGACATTTAAAAAATAATAATAATAATAATAAGGGCAACTCCTCTTATCATGGAGCCAAGTTCCAGAAAACCTTCTTGTTAGAAATAAGTCAACAATCTGTGATTTATTATATATGAGGATTGATGATTTTCAGTGATATGAATGATATGCAGATGCATGTATTTATAGTGAGCATATGTCTGTTTGCAACAAACATGTTTTTAGGAGGCGACTGTTCAACGTAAAGGGCATGTTGCTCCATCTGTTTCTCAAATACGCTCTCAGACTTCATCTGAAAAGATGAGTCTTTTCATAAATAATAAATAATTTAATTAAATTTGAAATTAATTAAAAATAATTAATTAAAGAATTTAATTTTCAGAGGCCCCAAGGCCCAGGCCCATCTTTTTTATAATTAATTATATATTAATTTAATTAATTATCAATTAATTATTACACCCCAAAGCTAACCCCAAGGGGTGAGCCAATTTTGTCTCCAAAAGTCCATCACTCCAATCACTTTCTATAAATGACAAAGCCTTATAAAGTGAGAAAATCTTGTGGTGGTGAACAATGTTGGACAATGAAATTCCACTCAAAATTTCCAACAATTCTTACTTTTCTAAGAGTGGATTGAACTATCAACTCCGGGCTTCGTTCTCCTTTTCTTTATTAAGCTATCCACGTAAGTCTCAATCGGCCGAAATGAACTAGAGGACTTTGTGAGACCCCATTCATTTGCTATCTATCTCTCTGAATCCATTTCTGCTACGAAGAGGAATGTTTAGATCTTTCAATCTTATGACGGGTGCTCGGATTTTCTCATTTGAATAGAAAAGGAGTCAAGCTGTTGGATGACATGTATGAAGAGCAACTCCAACCACTAAAGGGACAACATCTATGTCATCCATGAAGATTCACCTGAGTTCAAAGGGTAGGTTGACCCCCCCTCCCCTTAATGGATCCGCAAGTGAGAGATACCACTAACGTAACAACTAGTTAGTAAAACTATAAGGATTGATCATGAGTTGTATGTAAATCTAGTTGGAATGCAAGGGTATGCGATCCAACTTTTCAAAGAAAATATAAATACGCATATAAAAACCGAAACCCTAATACAGAAGAGAACAACCCAAGTAAATTCAACTAAAATAACTTCATTTATGTGCTACTTGTGCCTCCTACAACAAAAATCTCTTTTACCTATTAGAAGGTATTCATGACTTGAGAACCAGAGTAGAAATTAAAAAAGAGATAAACATGTACGGAAAATGAGAACCTAGACACTAAAAAGTTGATGGATTCTCCATGCTCCCCTTCTTAATTAACTAGTCTAGTCTTCATCTCTTTGGCTTCTTAGCTAGTGTGAGAAACATAAAAATAAAAATTAATTAACAAATTAGGAGACTAATTAATTAATTAATACAACAAAGGGAAAGAGAGAAAGAGGGGCCAGATAGTGTGTCCTATGGCCATGATGGAAAATCATCATATTTCCTTTTGTCTTTGAGCATTTGTGCTAGAATGTGGCCTTCTAACAAATCGACCCTGAAACAAAATAAGAAAACCAATATTCAGTCCCTGAAACAAAAAGAGTTTCTATGATGGGGAACAAGTACAAGTAAAATGAGGTTTTGTGTTGTAAACGTGAGCGTAGTGATATTAGTTAGAGCGGAAACTCCACAAGTACAAATTTTTCTTTCCACAATTCAAATTAGGCTAAAATAGAATATATCACTTGTATTAAAATAAGCTTCGTTTTATTCTATCAAGATGATCAATTTTTTTTCAATCGAATTTCTATTTTTTGTTAATAAGATGTTGTTTACGTAGATCATTAGTTACTTCTCTAAGTAAGTTTTTACTAACATGCATATTATCAAAATATCCACAATCAGAATTTGGATTATCGATAGTATCAATTATACGAATAATGTTTTACACAAGTTCTCTTCAACTTTCAAGGGTTTCATTTCGGTGCAACGTAGCATGAAATGCTACGAGTATTAGATGATATAGATTCATGGGACCACAATAAAAGCAATAATTTAAATCAATTTAGATCATCCAATGCTCGTAATATTACATGCTGGTATAATAGGATGCTATGTATTATGGAAGAATTTTCTCAAATGCGGACATGGATTGCTCACAACTTGAACTAACTAATAATGAGAGAAAAAGATAGGGAGGGAAAAACAAAAAAAGGAAACATAAATACTAGTCATGAGAAATGTGTTGTAAAGCAAATCATCACAACCATCATTACATCTTTATTTATCTTTTATTTATGGGAATTGTTATTGGTACTCCAAAAATCTCATTCTACACTCCAAACTTTCTATATTTGGAAAGAAAAATACAATTGTGAGGAGTGTAGAATGAGATTTTTGAAGTGCTAATAACATTTCCTTTATTTATTTCTTATTTAATTTGAAACAAAATTAATCAATTCGAGTGTCAAGTCTACTCTATTTTAGATAAATTAGTGTGTATCTTATCTTTTGTAGAAAAAAAAAAACGATGAAGAATGTTTTAGGAGAACAGAAGTACCTTCATTCTGGGTCGTTGATCGGCATTGACTTTTCTAACTTGGTATCTGATCTTCTTAGTGAAGAGGCGAGTACGACGTTTCTCCTTGTAGCGCAAGACGCTAGCCTCCCTCAATCCTCCGACGTCTGAGAATAAATCAATATGCGCTAGCCTGGCCTGCCCAAAACAAACCCATTTATCAACAAAATAATCATTTAGAGACAAAATGAGAAGGACACATCTGTCATTCTATCACATATTTTGTATTTTCGCAAAAGATTATAGACCCAGAAAATGACCAATGCCGCCTTCAATAAAATAATAAATATTATGACTCCAAAAGGAAGAAGATAATGAATTCTATGATTTCGACCCCAAAATGATACTATGAATAAAAAATGTAATTAATCGTATATTGAATATTAAAGATATGCTTTGTTTTAGACTAATAAATACTTTGGCACTTACAGCAAAGCAATCGACTTGGCAAAGTTACAAGTGATTTTTCCGTCATTCGAGCCTAAAATATTGTTAAGTCAGAGGAAAAAAAAAGCTTAAAATTTTTATAAGTTACTAATTATAGCTCCTAATTTTCTATTTTTATATAAGTTAAGAAATGTAACGGATGTAAAAATATGATTAGTTACTAATATAGCATTACGTGGGGTGCGTAGAATAATTTAACCAACTTTACGACCTAAATTTTTAAGAGTGAAGATTTAAGGAACGTCAAAAATGGTAACCAAAACAAAAATGGATTAATAAAAAACTGAGTTCATTTTATAAAGGACCCACTTTATTAGACTGACATAAAAAACAGAGGAGCAGATTTTTTTTTTTTAAGCTCCAGACTTTGAACAGGTATAAGTTTTCCCGGAATTCGATTCCCCGGCAAGAGATGAGAAACGTACAGCGACATCATTCCCCGCCGCATCAGATCCCGGCATTTCCTCCGAAAACGGCGACGCTTTGTCCGACCAGGCATTCAAAACGTCGTCGTAGTCCAACTTCAGCTTCAGCCCGGGCTCTTCCTCCGCCGGGGGCTTGGGAATCGGACTCGCCTCCTTCGGCGATTCCGCTGTGATTCTCGATTCCAAGACCGACAGTTTCTCCACCTTCTTCTTCTTCTTCTTCTTGGCTGTGGCCGCTGCCGGAGCCGGGGCGGAAGATGACAGAGATTTGTTGAATCTGGGCGAGATTTCAAGAACATCTACGGTGGGAAAACTCCACCAGTTCCCCTCGTCGACGTGCCTCAACGGCCTCACTCCTCCTCTTCTCGACCCGAACTCGAATTTCCCGCCAAATCCGAGCCCTATTGGGTACCCATAACAGGAATTCCAAGTCGAATTCGGTTTTGGATTCGAATTCTTCATTTGCCCACCTCCGCCATTGTTAGACTCCTCCTCCAAGTCCATGTTCACACTCATACTTCCCATGATGCTATCAATCCCCTCTTCAATTTCCTCGTCGAGAATCGACTCCGCATCGAAATCTTCCTCTTGGAAATTATACCCGTCACTCAACTCCATGGAATCGGAATTGCAATTCGGTGGGGACTCGAATTCCCCCGGACTCCGGCACGGCTTCTCGAACGAATTCAGGGACTTGGGCTCGAATCGGGAACTGGATTTTTCCTGGAGTTGGTGGTGGAGCAAAAACCCGGAGTTTTCGGCCTCGATGACTCTGAACGGCAGGAGCAACTCCGCGGATTGGTCGAAGAAGGAGTCGTGAGGTTTGGTGAATTTTCTGGGATTTGTGAAACTTTTGGAGGAGAAGATGTTGGGGTACGCTGTAGAGAGCAATGCGGCGGCTTCATTGTATGTTTGGTTGGGCCGTTTTCGGGGGGTACGAGGTTTTCGTGTCGAGATTGCGAGGCCGGAGTTGCTGGATTCCGAGAGAGTTGAGGAGGGAGAAGAGGTGGAGGTGAAGGTTGATGTGGACGGCGATTTAACTATGTCAAGCTCGAAGGCATAGGTTCTTCCGCCGCCGCTTAGGCACGAAGACATTTTGATGATTCCGAGGAACAACAGGCAAAGACAGAGAATTTAGAAACAAAAAATTCAGATTCTTCAGCTGAAGAACACACAAAACAGAGGAGATGAAGTCATGGAATTGTTGAATTCAAGTTGTTTGGAGGACTAAAATCTAAAAAGCCAAAATCTTTACTCAAAAGGTACAAAACCCTAAACCCTAAAAGTAGAGGAAAGAAAAGGTATTGGGTTTGAAATGAAAAGTGGGAAAGGGCCAAGCAGCTTTCGTGTGATTAAAATAGAAAGAACCACTGAGAAATGGGTTTTTTCTGGAATTGCAAAACTGGAGCAAGGGAATTAAAATTTGATGGGACACATGTTGAAAGGTTTTTCAAAAAAAAACCCCAATAACTCTTCTATTTTCTCTTAAAAAACCAGAGTATCCCAAAACCCTAGAGAGAAAAGAAAACCCAGGTGACTGAAACTATATCGAAGGGAATCAGTAAATTGGGTATTGGCTGATGCAGAAAAAGGAATTTATATATCCCAGAAAGGAAAGTTATCCAATAAAGAAAATCGAAGACTCTGTATATACTGTGAAAATTCAGCACCAAAAGAGGGGAGAGAGAGAGAGAGAGAGAGATGGGGAGAGACAGAGGAGGTGGATTTTTTGCAGAATAGGTCACGGGGCGAACCAAATAAAAGGGTGTAAAGAACCGTTGGGAAGCCTGTAAATATACCACAAGCATATGAAGAGACACTGATTCTCTGTCTGTCTCTCTCTCTCTCTCTCTACAGACCAGAGGCAGAGGGCACTGGGAGACTGGGAAGTGCCTATGTATGAGTGATGGAGATGAGACAGGGGAAGAGACAATGCTCAGTTTCAGCAGTTCTGGCTGTGGGACCTCTTTTTTTTTTTTTTTTTTTTCTGCCTTTTCTTTCTCTAATTTTCTAAATATCTTTTTACCATTTCAATCATTTTATCTTGTATCTCAGAAAAAAAAATATATATATAAAGTAGTATTTTATTATAGTAATGAAAATAGGTGTTGCTCTTGCATCATAACGTAGGTTCGAATCTAGTTAAATTTTTAATCTAATATCTAATTTAAGAAATCCATCATCTGACAAAATATCGAAAAAAGAAATCATTTTATTTTGCTCACCTTCTGCTCTTGCATTTTTTGCATTTTGCCCTCTTTCATGTTAGGAAATCATTTTTATTTTTTTGAGTAAACAGGAGGATACCTCTTTGTTGCCCTTTCACATCAATTTTTGGGTTAATAAAATTCCCAATTGTCACAAGTTCTATACATGATTAAATAATAATAGAGCAACAACAACCCAATTATTGAGAACAACTTAAAAAGATTTTGTCAAGCTGATTAAAACAAACAAAGAAAGGTATCCACAAATAGCATAAAATACCAAAATGACTGTTAACTACTTAATATATGTCCGTTTTAAAATTACTTTTGAGAAAAGAAACGGTACTTTCTTGTTTTTTTATTTTCATGGTATATACCATTCCATTTACATTTCTACCATATTCTCCCACAACCCTTCTTCTATCCTTCTTCTATCCTCATTTCTTCCTTATATATATATATATACACATATATATTAGTTGTACTATTATAAAAGGAAATGGGAGATTTCGAAACTATTACAGTAATTTAAAGAGGATGGAGTTTTGAACCCGGGATGCATGGGTAGAAACCCAATACTTTATCCACTAGAATATTAGACTACAAACAATTTCTTATATTTCCTCTTTATCCTAACCAAAAATTAAAAACTACAAATGAAAGATGGTTTTTTTTCAAAGAAATGGTTTTTCTTTTTCCAAATTAAAATGGCTTATAATGTCTCATTGTGATTATGATTGTAACCCATAGAGAAAAAAGATAAAGACATAGATCAAAATTGAAGTATGGTTACTTAGATTGTGTAAGTATAACTCGAGAGGAGGGACCTGATAAACACATTTTTTTTCTTCTACACACTTGTATTCAATTATGTTCATTGTTTTTGTTTGATTTATTTAATAATAACAAAAAACAAAAAGAAAAAAAACGTGTAAGATGTTTGAAATTCATGTAAAAACAGCTCCGTAACTCAAGTGACATGAAATAAACAAGATATTGGTTTTAAGCTCGAATTATTCACGTAAACAAATAATAAAAGTGGCATGTATTTAAGAAAATATGAAAATAACAATGAGATAACACTAGAATATTGTGGTGAAAAATATTGGCGATCCAGATATTCGCAAATCTCATCCAATCTTAGCCATGGGACAATCATGGATGGATGTCTTGTTTGGATGATTCTTAGTATGCCACCCATACCACCTGCAAAAGTGACTTGAGATTTTATGGAAAATCCCTTTTCTTATCTGCTGACGTGTAGACTACTTATTGGGCGGTCGAGATTTCTAGGGCTGACTGGACTGCGTTTTCAGGGTTTGGATGACAGTCACGTGTATCAAAAACTAAGGTGGGTTTCTGGATCTCTCGCAATGATTTGAACCTTTTTGTTGTTTGGTGACTTTTGCCAATTTCAGTGTGCGGTCGATGAGAATCCTACGTTGAGCTTATTAGGTTCAATAACTTAAAGATTACAATATCAAATTGTTATGGCTTTTGCACAAATCTTGTGACCCACATCCCATTATTCCTTGTGTTCCAATTATAATTAACCAAATCACACAAAATTTGTACCATAGAACAAGATAGATAATCACCCACTAGTCTCCCTCAATCAGCCAATAGACTTGTGGTGTGTCAAGGGCAGATTGTAACGAGTGAAACAAAACTGAGAGCGAGATTGTATTTGTGTACTTCATTAAAACGTGTCCGACTTCATTCTCACTACATGCATGATATATAAGACTAAATATAATCTCTTTAATTTTCGAAAGAAAGTTGAGTTTTTCTTCTTATTAAGTGGTCAAAATGATGGTTTCTTTTATGGTATTGATTAAGTTTCTCATGTTACCAAATTAATTTTTTTACAGTTTGTTTTGTCCTCAGACTATTTTTAATTGACAATAATTAAATGTAATTAATTTTGAATTTGAACTTTACCATATGTTTAGATGAGGAACTTTCAAGGTAACACTTGAATTTTAAAGTAATTGTTTTTTTTTACAAATTCACTACAAATTATAAATGTATTTAAATTTGACTCAATCTCATTCTAATGCACAATGAGTCATATATAACTTCGTGCTATATGGAAAGTCATAAGGGTCACTACAAATTATAAATGTATTTAAATTTGACTCAATCTCATTCTAGTGCACAATGAAATGAGTCATATATAACTTCGTGCTATATGGAAAGTCATAATTGAACTTAGTTATAACTCTAGAGTACTCTAAAATTGACTTCGTTCCTCTCTAATCCATAAGGGTAAGAGTTACAAGGCAATTTTAACTCATATATTATATCCTATTTCATGCACCATCGTATTCAAACCAAATCTTCACTACTACGAAATCATTTATTAGTGTCGTTATGATAACCGACAAGAAACGTATATTACTGTCAGATATTAAGCAAAATCCGACATAAAATGGATGCAATGGCGGATATAATAAGCTATAGAATTGCCAGCGTCAGGAAATGAATTTTTCGACAGAAAATACTCTAAAACCGATAGAAAATGTGTCAGATATAACCGACAGAGAATATATTAATAATGAATAAATAAGAGCATTCTCTATCAGATAAAACCGACAAAAAATATATAAAAGCGACAGAACTTGTGTCGGCTATAACCGACAGAGAATATATTAATAATGAATAAGTAAGAGCATTATCTGTCCGTTAAAACTGACAGCAAATATATTAATAATAATAAAAAATCTAAAAAGGACATGAGAGCATTCTCCATACTCCTTCTCGTTGAGCATTCTTCTCTCCTTTTGCTCGAAATGACCCAACAATCATCGAAACAATAGGTATGAAGTGAAGCAAAAGTTCGGATTAGAATATGCAGCTAATGAGCAAACCAGATTGGGCAACATGCTTGAACCCCTCCCCCCATGCACGATGGAATTTGAAGCTCGAATTCAAAAGATCCAAAACCCAACTCCATCTATCCCAGAAAAACAGAAGAGAAAACCCACATCTTCCATAAATTGAAGAACGAAGAAAAGCATGGAGATCCCAAATCACACACAACATTCAAACATCAAACACTTACACAATCAACAGAAACGACCACCATAAATAGAAGAACGAGAAAAGCAATGAAGAAAAAAGAGAGGCTCACTCGTCTTTCTCTTCGGTGCTCTGTAAGGGGCTTCGATCGGACTTTGAGGAGCAAAAGGAAGGAGAAAGAACAGATGAAGCAACGGCACAGAGAATCAGAGAAAGCAAAAATCCAAAAACCATGTAACGGGGAAGAAGAAATGTGCGTGTACGGTGTTTGTATGCGGTGGGTTGGACGAATCTGGAGTTGGAAGAAATAAGGCGTACCCTCTTCGTCTTGGGGCATTTCGTGGCTGTTTTCTTGGTAGTTATGCGGAGGATCATCTTCCATGGCCTTGTGGGTGCGCTTCTATGCCGGCATTGCTCTGGAGAAGGGAGAATGCTCAACGAAAAATATAAAAAGGAGAAGGAAATGAGGAGAGGAGAAAAGGGGGAAGGAAGGGGGAAGGGAGAAGGCATCGGCGCAAGGAAGAGATTGAGGGGTTTTATTTTGGAAAATTATCATTACTGTCGGTTAAAACCGACATAAACATTTTTTAAAATAAAAACCGACAGAAAATTTTCATTACTGTCGGTTATAACTGATAGAAAAAAAATGGCGGCAAAAATCCCCCAAAATTCCCTTCCAAAATTTTAAATTCCCTCCCAAAATTTTAAATTTCCCCCTAAAATTTTGCTATGATTTAAAAAAATAAAAAAATAATTGTTTGGTTTAATAAATAAATAAATAATATGTATTTAAATAGTGTTGATGACACACCCCAACCGAAGCCAAGGCATGCTGGCCGTCACGTGAGAGTGACGTAGCCATGTGCACAGTGCGGAAGCGGTAAAGATAGCAAATATACGAATAATTAAAAACCAAATTACTAGGGTGCACTACTAAACGAAAGTGATAGGAGTTAGTTACAACAGTGAACACTCATAATCAGAGCATTAGAAGTCTAGGTGCGTACTAGTAGGACAAGTACTAGTTACACAGTACCAGGAATGTCCTACTATTATTCAAATAGGTTAGAACTGCCGACGATCCCGAGCCACTAACAGCAACTTACTTAGAACCTGGAGGGGCGCAAAACAGAAAACGTGAGTGGGCAAAAACAAATGTTTTACAAAACCATTTCATTTATCAACATACTAACCCCTCACTGTAAAACATGTAAAATTTTCCCAGAATTAAGATATAAGCATATACATATTTGTGTGTGTATATATATATATATATATATATATATATATATATATATATATATATATATAGATACATATTAATTCAATTCATGCTTCACACAATCATATTCATATGTATGCTATGCCAAAATATAACAAAGTAAACAATTCAGGTAAGAATAATTTCATAGAAATGTGATATGCCAACCGGAACTCTTGAGGTAGTTTGTACGGCTGAATTCATAGCTCAAATTCAATCTAGCCGGAGTCACTATAATGACCTATACGGCAATATACTACACATAAGTCGGAACCACTGAAAATGGTCTGTACGACAAGATTGGGTGAAATATAATTATGCTCAACTTTATTCTCTCATAATAGTCGGGCGATAGTTCGCTAGTCACCTACGAGTCGGAACCATGAATAAGGTCTGTACGACAAGACTGTGCACTTAAATTGGATCCAATATGAGCATATAGTGCAGGAGGTGACATAAATAAACAGGCATGTGTTTCACTTCTCTAGCTAATTCACAATCACCATAGGTGCAGCTTTATGAGCTCAACATTACTTAATCACATATCACATATCACATATCACGTATCACATCATTGATGACTCACACAACCAAACATAACTTACCTGAACTCACCTGTGCCTCCACATCACCACATTCATATATATATGCAACCATGCAATGCATATTCAAAATATAGAAGCATTTGGCATATTATTTCTAGGCATACTTTCCTTAAAAATGCATTTCTGGGAAATATATCAAGTATATAAATATATACTGAAAACAAAAGCCCATTCACTGATAAGTTGAAGGGTCGTAACCCCCGAGTCGCCCGTGGATACGCTCATCCTCGAGATAAGCCTCACCTATATGCGAATTAACTATAAAAATGTTATTTTAAAACACATATACAAAACTAGCTAATAACGTCTCATACATTGCTCAATTTTGGTATTTAAATATACCAACGTGACCTACACAACCTCACGAACATCATGAAATTTTTAGATAAATTTTTAGGTGGCTCACGCCCCCCCATGCGCTGGGGAGGGCACAACCTCACACGTCCAACACACGCATCATCTTCAACCTCCAGACGCTGGAACCGTTCACCGGCGCCGGATTCTAGGCAAACCTTCAAACTCATTATTCTCCTTCGTTTCTCAACCATTTTTCATGCAATTGGTACCAAAATGAAGCTAGGGACATCTACAATCACGTTATACTACTTTTAAGCCTTGAATTCCACTAGAATCTACTTGAGGAAGCTCGATAATCCGGTCGACTTGAAAAGCTTCGATCTCGACCTTCCGACGTCCAAACTCTTCCAACGAACTACCCCAAGGCTCGTGAGGACCTCCTTAAGCCTTCTATGAGCTTAGAATTCCCTGAAAATCGAAGAATAAAAGTTGCATGAACAGTGCATGGAATCGAACTTTGTGGTTCTACGTGAAATCGAAGGTAACCTTACCTATTTTTGGTACCTTTGAACTCACGAGGACTTTAGGAACACAATGGTACCATTTTCAACCTCGATTTGCAAGGTTTGGGGTGTTCTTGCCCTTGTCTGTATGTAAGAAGGAAGAGAGAGAGAGTGAGAGTCCGAGAGAGGTGAGAGGACACGGGGGAGAGGAGAGAGGGAGAGTGTGTGTGGCCTAGGATTGGTCAACCACCAAAAGAAAACATAACTTAATCCTAATTGGTTCCAAACAATTAGGATTTAAGTATATTAACCCAAAGCTACCCTTAAACCACATTACATAACTAACGTTCAAGGGTATTTTCGTCAATTCATGTCGTCGATAAATATATATTTGGGATGGGCTGTGACAATCTCCCCACCTTATAAAATTTTGTCCTCGAAATTACATACAACCACCACATCCACTAATAATCATAAAACAATCGTGGATACATCTTTCTCATCCGATCTTCTGTCTCCCAAGTAGCTCCATAACACTTTTACCAAACGAACTGTCTTATTCCTCAGTTCTTTATCCTTCCAATCTAACAGAGTCACTGGTTCCTCATCATAAGTCAAGTCCGAATTGATTGCCAAAGGTTGAGGAGGAATCACATGTGAAGGGTCTGAAACATAATGTCGAAGCATCGAAACATGAAATACATCGTGTACCTTGGATAACTCTGGAGGCAACTCAAGCCTGTAAGCAACCTCACTGACTCGCTCGGTGATCATATATGGTCCAATGTACCTAGGACTCAATTTTCCTTTCTTTCCAAATCGTACAACACCCTTCTAAGGTGATAGCTTTAGAAATACCCAATCACCTACATTATACTTCCGATCAGTGGCATGCTTGTCTGCTAAGCTCTTTTGTCGATCTTGGGCCGCTTTCAGGTTAGACTTAATTACCTGAACTTTTTGAGTAGTCACATCCATAATCTCAGGGCCCACTAAAACTCTTTCGCCAACCTCTGACTAACATATAGGCATACAACAAGATTTCCCATAAAGTGCCTCAAATGGTGCCATACCAATGCTCGAATGATAACTATTGTTGTAGGCGAACTCCATCAGATCCAAACAATCATGCCAACTATCCCCAAACTGTAGCACGGAAGATCTTAACATATCCTCTAATGTCTGAATGGTCCTCTCAGATTGTCCATCTGTCTGAGGATGATATGCCATACTATAAAGCAATCTCGTACCAAGAGCTTCCTGGAATGCTATCCAGAACTTAGAAGTAAATATGGGATCCCAGTCCAAGATAATATTAATTGGCACACCATGGTACTTCACAATCTGCGATATAAATAACTTAGCTAATCGGCTTAACGAATACTTCTCCCTTACGGGAATAAAATGCGCTGACTTCGTAAGCCGATCAACTACCACCCAAATGCCGTCATAACCATTTTGTGTGGGAGGAAGCTTGTACACAAAATCAATAGTAATATTTTCCCATTTCCACTGTGGAACGGGAAGTGGCTACATTAACCCAAACGGTTTCTTTCTTTCAGCTTTAACCTGTTAGCAAATGGCACACCTGCTCACATATTCGGCAATTTCTCTTTTCATACCTGGCCAATAGTAAAATGGTCTAATGGTATGATACATCTTAGTGCCTCCTGGATGCATCGCATATGCCGAAATATGTGCTCCATCCAAAATTTCTTTCTTTAATTCTGCATTATTCGACACATACATCCTAGTTTCCTGCATAAGCATGCCATCGATTTCTCGAATCTCAAAATCTTTCTTTTTACCTTGGTTCCTTGCTTGAATTATTTCATGGGTCTCTTCATCAATCATCTGAGCCTCAAGCACACGATCAATTAAAACTGGCCTAACCTGGAAATTAGCAAGCAAGGCTTCTCCTCGATCTTCCACTCCTAGCTCCACTCCAGTGGACCTCAAATCTGCTAGAAAAGGAACATGACAATCATAGATGGCACTAAGTATGGCTGGAGTCTTTCTACTAAGTGCGTCCGCCACCACATTTGCACGACCAGGATGGTACTCAATCGTGCAATCATAGTCACTAAGTAACTCAATCCATCTCCGCTGACGAAGATTAAGATCTCTCTGAGTAAATAGATACTGAAGACTCTTATGATCTGTGAAGATATTACATTTCTCACCATAAAGATAATGTCTCCAAATCTTCAAGGTAAAGATGATAGCTGCTAACTCTAAATCATGCGTAGGGTAATTCTTCGTATGAGGTTTCAACTGTCTCGAAGCATAAGCAATTACCCTACCATGTTGCATCAATACACAACCCAAACCATTTAGAGAAGCATCACTATAAACCTCATAATTACCGCTATCATATAGAAGTGCTAGAATCGGAGCACGAGTGAGATAGTACTTCAACTGCTGAAAACTTTGCTCACATCTATTATCCCACTCAAACTTAACATCCTTTCGAGTCAACCTCGTCAGTGGCAGAGCAATCACTGAAAATTCCTTAACAAACCATCTATAGTAGTCTGCTAAGCCAAGAAAACTCCGTACCTCGGTGACGGTTTGAGGTTGCTCCCAATTCTCCACAGCTGCCACTTTCTGAGAATCCACTTGAATGCCTTGAGCAGAAACGACATGTCCCAAGAATGCCACTTGATTCAACCAAAATTCACATTTGCTAAACTTAGCATATAGTTGGTGTTCCCTCAAACTGCTCAACACCAACTTCAGATGTCTAGCATACTCAGCCTTAGACTTAGAGTATACCAAGATATCGTTAATGAAGACAATAACAAACTTGTCCAAATATGGCTGGAATACTCGACTAATCAATCTATAAAAG